GAGTTTTATGGTGACTGATTTCCTCCTCTGCTCCATGTAGCAATTACTTAGCTGTGTTCTTATGCATTAAAGCACATTCTCTAGAGATCAATTTAGTTTGTTTTACTCGTGATGACAATTTCAGTATAATCTCATAAGGACCCATGGTCAGGAAATGGCCCTACTACCACTCTCCAGCGAGACTGCATCTATCGTTGGTGCTGGATGGTGGGAGCCTGGAAAAAGCACTGAGGAAATGGCTCCTGGAGATAGAGGGGAGTCTCCCAGGCAGCACCCAGCTCAGGAAAGATTACCTTTCCTACCAAAATTCTTAGAGGTCTACTTGGGCATGCCTTTGTTCATGGGCAGAAGGCCTTCACAGACTTACAGGCGGTGGGAATCCCAGAGGAGGCATTTTATGAACAGTGTTCTTAGCATGCACTCTGAGCATAAGGGACCACAGTGCCCACTGCCTACACTGTGCAAACCTGTGCAGCCCTGAACAGAAGCAGAAAAGGAATTAATATTTACAAACATGGGAGTTTCAGATCCTCAGTTCCCATGAAGGGACTTAGGGGAATCAGAAACTATGTTCAAGATCAAAAAAATCTTATTCACTTTTTCGTTGATCCCTTCAATGAGTGTTTATCAAGGGCCTATTATTATTATGTATAAGGTGCTCTGCAAGGCTCTGGGAATTAATCAGTAAATGAGACAACCCTAGTGCCTCACAGAACGAAGCTTGTCTTCGACTGGACTTCGTCTGACACTGTACAACTACTCTCAACATTAATTATTTAATTAAAATTGTGGTAAATGTTGCAAAAGAGAAATATAAGATGTTAGGAGAGCCTATAATGGGACGTTACCTGGTCTGACGTTCAGGGAAGGCTTCTCTGAGAGAATGTTGTAGAAATCGAGAGCCACTGAAGGAATCGTTACAGTTAATTAGGCAAAGAGATGCGGGAAGAACATTACGGACAGAGAACACGAGTGAAAGGCCCTCGGGTGAAAAGGAGAATAGTGTTCTCCAGGGACTGAGAGACAGCCAGGTGGCCGGAGCAGGGAAAACGAGCAGGTGGGGAGCGGGCAAGGCCGTGAAGGCTGTCAAGGGCTTGGGACCTGAGCCTGGGCAAGGGAAACGGTTGACTGTTCAATTATAGGAGTAATATATGTTGTGTTACTTATAATCTAATAATAAATCAAACAAATCACATAATACAAAATAATACCCTCCACCCCAATCTCATGTTAGTCATGTCAGGGGTAATCAGTATGAGCAGTTTTGTGTGTGGATTTTCAAATCTATTGCTATAAATATTTTGAAGGGGAAGCTGCTTTGCTTTGTACTTACATAAATTATATTATGCATACTGTTGTGATGTATTTTCATTTAGTAATATGACTTAGAAATCTTTGTATACTTTCCATATTTATATCTACCTCATTCTCTTACTTACCTATTTTTCTATTAGTGGACTTTTTGTTCCAAGGTTGTAAGTAATATTGCAGAAGACTTCCAGAAAAATGGCATTCTAAGCCAGCATTGAAGCCACCCTCTCCACCCTAAACAATGGGAATTCTCAACCAACTATGATCAAAATAATGTTTTAAATACATAGCTAAGCCCTGGATTATTTGGCTCCATGGTTAGAGCATTGGCCAGAGGACCTTAGGTGTCTCGGGTTCAATTCCCAGTCAAAGGCATATGCCTGGGTTTCAGGTTTGATCCCCAGCCCCAGATGGAATCATGTGAGAGGGAACCAATCGATGTGTTTCTCTCACATCAATATTTCTCCCCCCCCCCTCCACTCTATGTAAAAATCAATGGGAAATATCCTCGGGTGAGGATTAACAAACTACATACATACATACTTACATATTTAAGTTCAAAAGATGAAGAGAAAAACTCACGGTTGCCAGAAACATAGAGGGAATACAAAGCTAGAATGGGGTATCAGTCTTGGTTAGAGGCCTGGTATCTGAGGCCTGAGGTTTGCACGCAGGCAGGAGCAGGAGATGAGAACTCGGTCTTATAAAAGGGCATGAGCAAGAACTGAGCCCCTGAAAGAAGCTGGGATCATCAAATAGCTGTCAATAAAAAAGGATAAGAAACACATGTCTACCAACTCAAAGAGTGATGAGTAACCTTGCCACAAACCAGGACCATTCTTGGAAGACAAACGATCATCTTGTGAAGCTGAAACTTCAAGCCTGAACCATAGTAAGTGTGTGGGAACCCTAAGGTAAGAAATTACCATAAAAACCTCCACTCAAAAAACTATAAAATATTACTAAAAGAATATTAAAAGGATATAAATAAATGGAGGTGAGTACTATGTTGAAGGATTAAAAAACTCAATATTTTAAGATATCACATTTCCTCAAATTGATCTATAGACTGCAATTTCAATTCAAATCTCAACAGCTTATTTTATGTGGAAATCAACAAGCCAATTCTAGAATTTTATGAAAAAGAAAAAGTCTAGAAATAGCCAAAACACTCATGAAGAACAAAATGGGAAGACTTATTCTACCAGATATCAATATTCAGGGTTAAGAGAGTATGGTGTTAGCAAATTGACTAGTAGCAAGGAGCAGAATAGAAAGTCCAGAAATAGATTCATAGTGACACTGCAGAGTAGTAGAGAAAGAAGAATCTTTTCAACAAATGGTTCGGGGTCAGCTGGACATCTATATGGAAAAAATAAATAAAACTTGACCTAACTCCTATGATAACCCAAAAATCATTTCCAAATGAGTTCTAGATCTAATGTGAAAGTTGAAGCAATAAAACTTCTAGGATTTAATACATAAAAGAATAGCTTTGTGACCTTGAGGCAGGAAAGAAGGGGGGGGAAGTAACTAAGAAAAAAAAACAAGAAAGAAGGAAGGGAAAATGGAGAGAGAAAGAGGGAGAGAGATACAGAGCAGACAAAAGCAAAAGCAGAACACTTCTGTTGGAAGTTATCCAACACTCCAAAGACACGATTCCAAAAATGTAAAACAAAAACACAGTATCTTCTAAAAATGAGCTCTAAATAAAATTACAAACCACACTCAGAAACAAATGCTTGATTGGAATTATATTCAATGCACAGATTATCTTAAAGATAATTGGCATCTTTTGGGTAATAACTTACTAAGTACTTACTATGTGCCTAGCACTGGGCTGAGTGTTCTAAACAGATCATTTTATTTAATTCTCATAATTGATACCCACGTTAACTAATAGTATTACTCTCATTTTACAAAGAAGCTAAGCCTTAGAGGAGTGAAGCAGCTTTCCTGAGATGACACGGGAAGGAACCGGTAGAGATGACATTCAAACTCAGGAGGGCAGACCCCAGGCTCATACACCACATTAAACTTTCTGTGCAGAGGCCAGCCGGTGAAGCTCAGTGGACTGAGCATTGTCCCATAGACTGAGAGGTGACAGTTTGATTCCCGGTCAGGGCACATGCCCAGGTTGTGGGCTCGATCCCCAGTAGGGGGCTTGCAGGAGGCAGCCGATCGATGTTTCTCTCATGTCAATTTTTCTCTCCCTTCCTTCCTCTCTCTCTAAAAAAATCAATAAAAACATACTTTAAAAAATTAAATGTTCTGTGCAGAAACAGTATCACCTCATGGATTCAGGTATTATTTTTCTCTCCTTCAATAATGGCTTAGAAAATCTTTTAAAATCTGGATTTATATATCTTATTAAGTTTGTCTCAAGGTTATTTTATAGTTTTTATGCTATAGTGAATTATATTCTTATTTCCATAACATTTTCTATTTGATTACTGCTACAGAACTACTGATTTTTTTTCAATATTGTATCTGACTACTAATAAGCTGTCTTACTTGTTTATCAGTTGAGTCTCTTGGATACTCCAGATAGTCAAGGTGAGGCATGTAAATAATGACAGGTTCATCTCTTTCTTTCCCGGGGTGACCTCACTTGACAATATTGTGCATTTTATGCCGTGAGGAAAAGTTCCTAATGTAGCATGGGAAGTGGGAGGGGAGTCTTTAATGAATTCCAGGCAGAAGGAACTCTGTTTTGAGCACAAGGTAATGAAATAGCTTGACTGACTCCAGAAATTGGGAGTAGTTTAACATGACTGTAAGGTAGGGTACAAATGAGGAAAGCAAAAGATGATAACTTGAAAGGGAAGACAGGGGATCTTAAAGGATGACAAGTCATGAAAGACTTTAAGCAAGGATGTGGAATGATAAGATTTACATTTTAGAAAAACCACCAGTGTCAGCAGTATGAAGGATTGATTGAGGAAGATAATGCTGAAGCAAGGGAGAAAAGTTAGGAGACTAGAACAATAATACAAACAAGGGATAAGCCATCTGTGGAATAATAGGAAAAAGGCATAAATCTCTGAGGATGGAATCCCTACTCAGTTAGCCTCCTTCTCGTTGTGATCTTGAATCTGTTATTCAATCTCCCCAAGCTTCGGTTCTTCTGATCCCTAAAATTAGGATAACAGCACGAACCTGACATGGCTGTTAAGTTTAAGTAAGATAATGTGTATGAAGTGCACTAAAAAATGATAGCGCTTTATTATTGCGCTGTATGATGGCAGTGTGGGTGAAGTTGAGCTCAGATTTCTAGAAATGCATATCCGTCAAAGCGCCACGTCAAAGCTGTCACTTCCTCTTCCTAGTTATCACAGAAGATAAATCTTGATGTCGAAGTTATTGAGGAAGATAACGCTGGGTTTTAGCACCCTTTCAGTCGTAGCTCGACTCTCACCTCTCCTGTGCTCTGTGTTCTCTCCCTGCCTACACCCCACCTTGAAGACTGCTGTGGGCGTTGGATATGCGTCATGACACAGCTGAACTACATGGCTCAGAAAGTAGTATGCCAATGCAGCAGCAAAAAAATATATATATATATATATATATATATATATATATATATATATATTTATTTATTTAAAACGGATAAAGGCCTTGAATATACATTTCTCATTTCTCCAAAGAATATATACAGATAGCCAACAAGCACATGAAAAGATGCTTACCATTAGGGAAATGTAAATCAAAACCACAAGAGGTGCCATTTCACATCCATTAGGATGGCTATAAGAAACAGAAAAGGAAAATAAATGTTAGCAAGGATGTGGAGAAATTGGAGTTCTGGTACACTGCTGGTGGGAATGTAAAATAGTTTAGCCACTTGTAGAAAATAGTGATTCCTCTACTTTTAGGTATATACTCAAAAGAGCTGAAAACATGTGTGCATGTACCATACCAGGTACAATCATGGTACAGTCTGAATGTTTGTGTTCATTCAAAATCACGTGTCAGAACCTTAGCACCTAATGTGATGACATTAGCAGGTGGAGCCTTTAGGAGGTGGTTAGTTCCTTGGGGTGGTATTAATGTTTTTATAACAGAGATTCCACAGAGCTCCCCAGCCCCTGCCACCATTTGAGGATACAACAAGAAGTCTATGACCCAAAAAAGGGTTCTCGCCATTCAATGGTGCCGGCACCCTGACCTCAGACTTCCAGCCTCCACAAATGAGAGCAATGAATGTCTGTTTTTTATAAGCTACCCAGTCTGTGGACAAGCTGACACGTGGTTATAGAAGCACTGTCATAATAGTTAAAAGGTAAAAACAATCCAAATGTCTATTAATGATGAATGGTAAACAAAATGTGATATATGCATTTAATGGAATATTACTCAGCCATAAAAAGAAACAAAGTATTGCCCTGGCCAGTTTGGCTCAGCAGTTGAGTGTCGGCCTGTGGACCAGAGAGTACCAGGTTTGGTTCCTGCTAGGGGCACGTACCACAAAAAAGAAAGAAGGAAGGAAGGAAGGAAGGAAGGAAGGAAGGAAGGAAGGAAGGAAGGAAGGAAGGAAGGAAGGAAGGAAGGAAGGAAGGAAGGAAATATGCTACTACATGGATGAACCTCGAAAGCATTCTAAGTGAAAGAAGCCAGACACAAAGTTTATATATTATGTGTTTCCATATTTGATACATATCCAGAACGAGTAAATTCATAGAGACAGAACAAAGATTGGTAATTTCCATGGGCAGGGGAGGGAGAATGAGGGAAAATTGCTTAGTAGGTATAGGGTTCCCCTTTGGGATGATGAAAATGTTATAGAACTAAATAGAGGTGAAAGTTGCACAACCTTGTGAATATACTAAATGCCATTGAAATGTTCACTTTTAGAGGTTAATTTTAGCCCTGGCCGGTTTGGTTCAACGGTTAGAGCATCCGCCTGCTGACTGAGGGGTCATGGGTTCAATTCCCGGTTAAGGGCACATATGTGGGTTGCAGGTTCAAACCCCAGCCTTGGTCGGGGTTGTGTGGGAGGCACAATCAATATCCACGCATAGATGTTTCTCTCTCTCTCTCTCTCTCTTCTATTCTATCCAGAAATCAGTGAAAAAATATTCTCGGGTGAGGACTAATAAATAGAAGGATAATTTTATGTTATGTTAATTTTACCTCAATAAAACAAATAATATATGGCCCTGGCTGGTTTGGCTCAGCAGTTAGAGCGTTGACCCACAGACCAAAGAGTCTCGGATTCAATTCTGGTCAAGAGCACGTACTTCAGTTGCAGTTTGTTTCTGGCCCTGGGCGGGGTCATGCAACCAGCTAATGTGTCTCTCTCACATCAATGTTTCTCTCTCTCTCCCTCCCTCCCACTCTATCTAAAGATAAATAGAAAAATATCCTCAGGTGAGGTTTAAATAATAATAATAATGTATATATTTTAATTATTCTGAAAATCTCTTCACAGAAAGTGGATGTGATTGGCTGCTAGAGTTCATAAACGCTGGCCTCAGGTTACCAATGAATGAAAGGCAGCTTGCATGAGCCGCTGTGGTCCCCATTCCAGAGCTTTTAATACCCAGACATCCTTTATTGCTTAACAGCGGGCATGGCCCCAGTCAGGAACTGTGCCATCCCCCACTGATGTCATTACTTTTCCTTGAAATCTGCACTGGAGCCCTTATTTTTCCTCCCCGTTATCTTGTCTTCCCTCTGAACATTCCCAGCCTTGGGCTGGCTTCAGGGCCTTTTGGAGGCAATTTTTCTTCTTCCGAGTTGCTGAATTTCCTTTGACTGCTTTGTCTCTTTCTAAAAAGCCCTCACATACTGTTACATGAAAGAACAGCATTAGGTCTTTTTGAGTCTAGACGGTAAGCCAGTTGCGAGCAGCGTGCCTTGTTCAGCACCCTCCCGGCACGGAGCCCCTGCCGGTGCAAGGCGTGCAGACGCCCGGCTCAGCAGACCCAGATTTCCCTGTCGGCTCTTCGCCTGCCGAATATGACAGCGCTTGAACCAAAAGGTCAAATAGGTACATTACGTTTTAGTTTCAGCATTTGAGTTTAAATTATCTCGTGTGCACAGAAAAAAAGGATTGACTGAAAACTAGCTATTGCTTCTCCGATAGCGCCCTTCTCCTCCGCGGTCCAGCTCCACCTTGGCTCCCCATCAGCTGAGAAAACACAGGATCCTTCCTACCTCCTCCACCTGCAGCCCTCCCATGGTGCTTGTTCATTACTGCCTGAGGTAAAAGTTCTAGAATGTTAATTCAACATCGTTGGGAAAGTGAAATAACATTTTCATTTGTTTCTTTCTACTCAGAATCCAAATTGCTTAATTAGTTGCATTTAAAAGAAGCAAAGCATTAAATGCCCTCTTTCTTCGCTGTTTTTCTTTTGTTCAGCATGACTCACTTTTGTCCAGTTACTGACTTCCCAGGAAATATTGCCAGTACTGGAAGCTGAGATTAGACTATTTTATTGCTCTACATAAACAAAGCCTTAATCTGTCCTTAAGGCTCAAAGACTCTACAGGTAATAATTACAGACAAGTGGTATCCCAAAAGAAAAAGATGTTTTGACACCGTTGAGAATCAGCATGCGTAGGTGTCTCCTATGTCAAGCCCAATATGTGGGAAGAATACCAATTTACTAGTCAAACACTTTGGGGTTTGAGCTCAGCTCTGCCACTTACTCTGTGAGCTTGAGCTAGTTATTAAACATATCTGAACATCAGCTTATTAATCTTATAAAAATGGAAATAACAATTCATAGGGTTGTTATATACATTAAATATGTTATTGCATTTAAAGATTGTCTGATACATATTAAGCTTTCAATTACTAGCCATTATCTTTATTCTAAGCAGGACTCATTGGCGTAAAATTTTATTTATCTCTTGTTTACACACACACATACACACACACACACACACACCCTTCCTTACCTGATTTTTAGACTTAATAATAAAACTATCAAAAGATAAAAGTAGGACAAACTGTATACTATAAAACAGCCATAAAAACGGTTTTCAAAAACTCAACCCATGTTAATTCTGCTAGTTAGTTCTGCATTCAGTTTACCTGTATTTACCAGATATCACACAATTTTTGCTGCTGCTTTCCTTGTCGCAATGCAAACTTTCTGATTGCAAATACATGCCCACGTTTCCACAAGACAGGCTCCGAATGGGAAACTAAACTAGATGTAACAAAAAGTAGCATGAGGAATATGTTTTCAAACAACATCTGATTCTTAGGAAGTCCAGCATGATTTTTATAATAATTTGACTCTAAGTAAATTTGAGAACTATTTCGAGGATACCTACTACATTCAGGAACCAGAGAGAATGAAAGATAAATATACTACAGTTTGTGCCTCAAGCAGCTTACAGTCTAGTAAAAGTTTGATAAGATCAGCCATGTGGCAGATTTTAATATTCTAACAAATCTACTTCATGCCAACCTGTTCAGTGGATCTCACAGAAATAGTTCTGACAAAATCAGTTGGAAACAATAGAGATAATTTTCTAAATTTTTGGACAGATAATCTTGCTGTTAAAAAAAAAAAAACTAAATAAAATAAAGCCTTTCTGAATTATCTCTTGTGGCTGGCTCTGTTGTTTGTATTCACCCAGAAATTGCTCAATTATCATTTTCTATGTAGATGGCACCATTATGTATGAGACCATAACAGAGAAGCTCCAGCAAGATTATTTGCAAAATGATGTATTTCCTATTTTCTACCAAACGCCATGACATTTAAACAGCTCAAGGAAAATAAATTCTCACACTGAGCTAGATATTCTGTGCTAAGAATTTTTATGTGGTACACTAGGCAAAACTCCATAGAAAATAATTTCCCAAGAAACAGAATGTTCACATGGACACTCTTGCTAATTTTTTTCATCAAAAAATGGTAATCCAAAATGTGACCTTATAAACAATACCAGCACATGATGAGCCAGACACTGGCAAGTCAATGTCATCCTCTGGCATGCTGAGCCTGGAGGGTGGCCGGGAGGAATGGGACATTATTTTCATTCCACCACTAGGGAACTATTTATAGTCTAGCATTCTAATCAAAACCCCAGTGACCTGAAAAAGTTAATGTGCCTTTCAGTGTCTTATTTATACCCAAGGAATCATTCAGGATCAAATCCAAGATTTTTATGTTTGTTTTCTCACACACACACACACACACACACACGAGCCCATGAGTTTATCCCACTCAATATGAAAGCCAGAAAGAGTTACGTAGTCTATGTTAATTTGGGTTCTCACATTACACAGCTGATGATTTAATGATTGAAGACATTGCAGAATTCTAAAGTTCTCCTAGAAACACCTCCAGGAAAATGATGGACCAAATTTTGTAGATAATTGCAGCCCATCAAAAAAAAAAAGTCACAGAATTTCTCTCCTTAAAAACTTGAAAATCAAAGGTGACATCAGAAAGTGAAACCAGTAGAATGGGAAATGTAGCCTGTAATAAGTTTCAATCTCAATTACATATACTAATGCTATTAAAATGACAGTGTAATTATTTATGACATAAGTGTGTATCAGAGTTTACAAAGCCCTTTTCTTTTTTAGGTATCCACTTGGACTTCACTCCCTTCAAGAAGATTCTCCTGACTCTTAGACCAGTCAGGTGCTCCTTGTCTTAGCACGTTTCAAGTAAGCCCAGCAAGATAGGCGTGGTATTGTTTGCCATTTTACACGTAAGAAAACTGAGTTCAGAGAGACCGAGTGACGTATCTCACCAAGATCACAAAACAGAACCAAG